GAAGCCATAATTCTCAGCCTGTGTACTTCATTGCAGCGCTCTATACTGAGTGGTCTAAGATTGAAATTATTGTCTGAAAAACCTGTAGCAAATTTTAATTTCTTTTTCACTTCTTTCATTGTAGGGGAACCAATTGGTCGTGGTACAAAAATTGTCTTGTATTTGAAAGAAGATCAGTCTGAGTATTTGGAAGAAAAACGTGTTAAAGAAGTTGTTAAAAAACATTCACAGTTTATTGGTTATCCAATTAAAATGATGGTACAAAAGGAACGTGAAAAAGAAATATCGGATGATGAAGATGAACCAACGACGAAAGATGAGAAAAAAGAAAAAACAACTGATGAGGACAGTAAAAAAGATGATGAATCAAAAGCCAAAGTTGAAGAACTTGATGACGATGAAGAAGATGAAGATAAAGCCGGTAAAAAAGACGGTGATAAAAAGAAAAAGAAAAAAATAAAAGAAAAATATACCGATGAAGAAGAATTGAATAAACAAAAACCAATATGGACAAGAAATCCGGAAGATGTATCTCAAGTAAGTTCAAAGTTTTTTGCGAACTCCATATGAATTGAAGGAACAAGCGGAATTCTTAAAGTTCTCGCTCGGCTTGTTAAGTTTGAAAACTAGTTTTTAGTAGGGTGAACGAAAGTGATCACAAAAGCAACAACACTATAATGCAAAATAACTAAAACATTTGACTGTGATGAATTTTATTCCCATCTACGCAGTTTCCACTTGAATGTCTAGATGTAAGAATAAAAAGAATGCCTTCTTTGGAAGTCTGAGTCATCTGTTTCTGTATTACTTGTTAAATACATATTCCGTTTTGGTTAGAAATGTAAAGGAAAAAATTACAGCGAGAATAGTTTACTGTAGATAATCTTGAGTCAACTATTTTTCATATCTTTAAGATCTTAGAGATGTGATGTATTTCTTGAGCTAATTTTCTTTTTATTTTTAGGAAGAATATGCTGAATTTTACAAACAATTAACAAACGATTGGGAAGATCATTTAGCTGTTAAACATTTTTCAGTTGAAGGTCAATTAGAATTTCGTGCTTTGTTATTTATTCCAAAACGTGCACCATTTGATTTATTCGAAAATCGTAAACAAAAAAATTCAATCAAATTATACGTACGACGTGTATTTATTATGGAAAATTGTGAAGAATTAATGCCAGAATATTTAAATTTTATTAAAGGTGTTGTTGACTCAGAAGATTTACCATTGAATATATCACGTGAAACATTACAACAAAATAAAATTTTGAAAGTTATAAGAAAAAATTTAGTGAAAAAATGTATGGAATTACTTGAAGAAATTAGTGAAGATAAAGAATCATTTAAGAAATTTTATGAACAATTTTCAAGAAATTTGAAATTAGGTAAGTACAGATACAAATAGAAATATAGTGAGTAATACACATCAATATTGGTCAGATAGATCAGTTTCATCTACTAAACAGAATAGATGGAAAAATGATGAAAAGTTAGTTATTCTAATATATCGTGCATATAATATATTTTTCGCTTCATTTTTAGGTATTCATGAAGATTCTGGTAATCGTAAAAAAATTAGTGATTTCTTACGTTATCATACATCAACGTCAGGTGATGAAGTGTCATCATTGAAAGACTATGTTTCACGTATGAAAGAAAATCAAAAAGATATTTATTATATTACGGGTGAATCACGTCAACATGTTGAACAATCTGCATTTGTTGAACGTGTACGAAAACGTGGATTTGAAATATTGTATATGACCGAACCAATCGATGAATATTGTGTACAACAATTAAAAGAGTATGATAATAAAAAATTAGTATCCGTAACTAAAGAAGGTTTAGAATTACCTGAAGATGATGAAGAAAAGAAAAAACGTGAACAAGATAAAGAAAAATTTGAACCATTATGTAAAATAATGAAAGATATTTTGGGTAAATAAATAAATAAAAGATAGGTGAATTATCTATTTATTTATTTCTTTTATTTTCTCATTTAGATAAAAAAGTTGAAAAAGTTATCGTTTCAAATCGTTTGGTATCATCACCATGTTGTATTGTTACATCGCAGTATGGTTGGTCTGCCAATATGGAACGTATCATGAAAGCACAGGCTCTTCGAGATACATCGACAATGGGCTATATGGCAGCTAAAAAACATTTAGAAATAAATCCGGATCATTCCATCATGAAAACATTAAAAACAAAAGTTGATCAAGACAAGAATGATAAATCTGTAAAAGATTTGGTTATGTTATTGTATGAAACATCATTATTGGCTAGTGGTTTCACTTTGGAATTACCACAACAACACGCTGATCGCATATTCAGAATGATCAAATTAGGTTTAGGTATGTAGTATCAACAGTTTAACTTATTTAACTTTCGGTTAAAAAAAAATAACGTCTTTCCGTTTCGATATTGATTGAAGTTGGATACAGAGTATCTATACTAGATCACCTTTAGTTTAAGTTTCGTCCACATCAAAATAAAAGTGAGAACAACTCTCATTATGTAAATTTAATCATAACGGGATTATTCTAGAAGAAATTGCGGTGTCACTATTTTTATCGTAATTATTCGACCGCTTCGAGCCAGTTTTACTTGAAAAAATGTCTTCGTTCAATTCTTTACTAATAAAATGGCTTTTGTATTTTTTATTAATGAATAAGTGAAAAATGGCATAAAATTTTTTTACAAAGTCTAACAGAAAAATAGAAAAAAATAATTATTTTTCTAAAAGTTTTAAGGGATTTTCAAGCGTCAAAACGTATATGAGAGATTACATTGGTTCAAATACATCTAAAGTTTACAAAGAAAATCAAAAATAACTGATACAGCTATTTCTTCTGGAATATCCTTCAGACCGTTACAAAAAAAAATCAATTTTTGAGAGATCTGAACGATCTTTTCTTCTGAATGATCTTTTAGAGATCTGAACGAGCAAACTAAATTTTACGTAAACTAACTGTAGATCACTTTTCTCATAAATGTGGTTCCTTTTACTTTAGGTATCGATGAAGAAGATGTTGTCAGTGGCGATACAGCATCGGATGTCAAAGATGATATGCCTCCATTAGAAGGTAGTGGCGATGCGGCTGCTGCCTCGGCTGAAGCGTCAAGAATGGAAGAAGTTGATTAGAGTATAAGAGAACAGCAAGATTCAAAAAAAAAATTTGATTGATTGTGTGTTTGTGTATGCTTAGTAAAAATATCAATTCATTCATTTTTTTCTGTCTGTGTTGTGTTTGTGTTGTAGAACAAAACTGACTGGTCATCACATTTTTTTTCTATTGTAAAACGCGTGCTGGTTTTTGTTATGTTGACTACTATGATATTGAAAAAACATAGTCAAGAACAATTGAGAAAAGGAAATACGAACAAATAAATATGAAGACAAGATTTTTGTGTAAAAATCAGTTATTGGTAGTGTTTTCACAAGGTTCTCTGAAGATGACAATTTTGTTAGCTGTGCTAGTTGACAGTGGTTTCTGAGTAAAAGCCCTAAACAAATACTTCGAAAGTACAATCCTTTAACTTTATCAGTCAAAACATCGGCAAAGCACGGATAATAGGAGAAAGCATCTTTTTGCACGTTACTAAAAGTATATTCAGAAAAACGCTCATTTCACGTTGTTGCTGATCTAAAGGATGTTTCTGTCTCTTATGCAAAGGAGTAAAATATCACTTTGAATGTGCATACTTGCGAGCAGAGTGTCATAGATGTCATTTAGTGAGACTTCTTTCAACTGAGTTTGAGTGCTTTTTTGATAATTAACGTCGACAACTTGTGGCTTTTCACTACCGCCGTTGCCTAGGAAGGTTTTTCTTTCCTTGCTGACATTTGGGCCTACTTTTGTACAAATTTTTTGTTACTATTATCCATCGTAGAGATTCGGGACAAAGGCGAATTGCATCACCAAGTAGTTCTAATCAACCTTTTAAAAGAATTCAACTTCTCATTTAATTGCTGCACAAGCAGAGTCCGATATAATAAATTTTTTGAAAACATTGAACATATGTTCTACTATTAAATTAACAGCTGATCCTACATATAAGAGTCTATTATTTATCTGTATGTATTAATAATACAAACAAGTAGACACATCAACATGTATAGACAGTTTCGTTAAGAAGAGCACGGATGCCCATATGAAATCAAGTAGGAGCAATCGTATGAGATTGGCTGCGTAGTTTAATGCGGGTTTATGCAGAAAAACCGGTGATTTCCCGTGTCCCATCTAGGATTCAGTTGGAATTTCAAAGTTTGAATTGGACAACTAGATTAGTTCTGATTTATTTAACAAAAATTCGGAGATCATGGAAAAAAGTAGGGATCTGAATACTAATACATAGAATAATTCTGACTTAACTTTGTAGCGTTCAACCTACAAAACCATAGATGAATGAGTGTTATTCATGTAAAAGTAAAAAGGTTATTGAAGAAATACTTAAAATATGAAACATCAGCAACTTTCTAGCACAAACATGCAAACTGATTTTCGCTTTCTTTCCACTAGGAAGATACTCAAAAACTTCAAAGGATCATTTCTAGCACAATCAAATGCGCCCTTTTTAACGGTATGCAGAGCACTTCAGTTTGTAAAATGTCGATAGAGAACCTAATTTCTGTAAAAAACGCCAGAAAGTCGAAACAACGGAGACAATACGTCATACCGATGGGTACTTTGCTCTTCTCTCTATACAGCCTCAACTCCGCCAGAGTTACTCGGAGTTAGAAATCTCTTGAGAGAGAATCAGACATAATTCGTGCTCTAATTCCAAGAAAAGTCGTATAACTCTGACAACACCGATGTTTCACTGCAAGAGTTGCCCGTCAGCAAATATTCAATCCGCGTCAACGTCGATGCGCCGACAAGTCATTGACAAATAACTCCAAGAGCCACTGGCCGCTTGCCATCTTGTTCGAAACTGCTTATATTGTATTAAAAAATATGCAGACCTTTTTCCCACAAAAAAGAGAACACCTTCACTTAAAAAGAGTAAATTGTTTCTATATTTGCTTTCAGTGTTTTCCAGTATTTATTATACTGAATAAATACATCATTTGCTGAGCCAAAATGAGAGCCTACAGCGCATGCAAACGAGTGTTTATAGTTATTAAAAAATGTCTCGCAACTACCTAAATAGCGAATATTATATTCTGACATTGATTCTCGGTTGATGCGCAGATAATCGGGGAGAATACCGGTAATATAAACATCGGATATTCGAAACGGATGTTTATCAAAGTAGAACGCATATAGAACAGCATCACGTGCTACTTTTGGTAGCAGATAACCGAAGCCACTTAGATAGTCTGGATACTGCGAACAGCGATACTCATCTTCAGTGACTACATAGCGTTGTTGGACCACGTCGTCGGCATCTCGGATCACACGTGGCTGGGAAATCTTATATCCGTATATCGATATTAGATCCGGACGAAACGTTTTTAGAAGAGCGTCAGAATGACTCACAGAATTAATACTTCTGGATGTCGTGGACGTGGTAGACGTCGAGTTGGTAGTATTAGTTGATGTCGACAGTGTTGATTGAGCTATCGGTGACTGTTGAGGATATAATAGTCTAGACACATAGCGAATTAACAGTGGTGAATTAATGAAAACATCATCATCGGTTTTGAAAATGTGTTTTGCTTGTCGACAAAAGCGAGCTGACCAATCTAGAATAGCCATAACTCGATAAGTGACTAGTGTATACTGTTGCGGTAATTGTACTTGAACGATATCATTGAAAAGCTGATTTTCTAATTGAATGTTCTGAACATACCTCTCGTCAAGGTCAATCATAAAGAGAGTTTTCAGTTTTATCGTTTGAGCTTTTGACTCTAAATATTTCGTGTTTCCCCATGTGCGACGAATAGCATCGCGTGTTCTGTAATTGTCCGATTTGGAAACGACCATTATGAGAAGGTCAAGTACTCCATTAGAACATGCCTCTGAGTTGTTCAGTTTATATTCATACAGTGGTCTCGGTTTCAGCTTCATACTAAAAAGTGCAGACGAGTATGAAAAGAGGTATAGCTCTGTCAACTTAGTCTTGTGGATCGTATTAATGGTACAATGAAGTTCTCAGCGGGCATGTATCACCCCTTTTGCCACACTTGTGATGTTTATGTGAATTGCATCGGTTTCCCACACTTTTGATTATGCAATCGTTATTTATGAGGAAACCAATGCAATTCACATAAACATCTCAGTTCAGTTTCAATTCCTTCATATGTGACACGTAGCATCGCAAGAGAGTGATATTTCCACGATGGTTGGAGGACGAAATCTCTTGAAAAAAATTGTTTATTTATGAAGAATCACGTTTGTGGAATCTCCTATCGTCTAGTATGAGGGCAGTTCACAAGCGAAGAGACTTTCAAATTGAAATTACAATCCGACTATACCTCGAGATTAAAAATTCCATTGAATAAAGATCGTAAACTTGAGATTGATTTTACTCGTTGTCGTGTGGACTTTTCACGGTTAAACGATGTTCTATATAGACAATTAGTGCAGTCTCAGAGTTGCGAATCTGGAGCTAGGAAGGAAACTGTTGAGCATTTTTTTCATGAACCGTGACCTATATATTGAACATAGAAAAAAATTATTTGATACATTAGGTGGTTTTCTCGATGTTGATCGCATTTTTCTAGATCAGACTTTGTTGCGTGATGATAGAATAAGATGTCTTCGTAAAGAAGATTTTCGTTTAGTCTACGAATCTATTCTTGCGTTTACTTTACAGGCAGATCGATTTCGGTCTTGATGTAAGTATAATTTGGTTTCCACGAATGATTACCATATAAGCAGAGACTTCTTTTTTTGCTCGCACCTTCTCTTTATTCTATACAATCTTCTTTCTTCTTTCTTTTTAGTTGGTTTCTACGCAATTCCACTTTCCCTTTTTTTGTCTGTTTAACCCACTTCTTTCCTCTTAGTTTTCCGTGTAATTCTTGTCGGTTGCTTTTATTTTCGCGTTCTACTTTATATAACAAAACAAATAGTGTTGTTAGCTTTTGCGAATATTATTCACCAGAGTTGATTTGAATAAATGTGTTTCTACGCAAGATAGGAAAAGTCTCTTGGTTGGGTTAGCTGTTTTACAAGAGAAGTTGTGCTGATAAACAAGATGTTTCATCTCTAACCACTGGAAACTGCTTTCCTAGTGAGTTTTTGTTAAAGATCATTACTGTATTACTATTAAACAGTTTACCTGCTAGTTATATTGCTATGTTTCACCACCCGTGCACATCGGAGTCCTAATTTTAACTCATGTTGCACCAACGAATAAAACGAGCTCAAATCACTTTTCAAGTAATCACTTTCAAATATGGCTTGCAATGATTTCATTTCAATGTACGAGATCATTTCGGGGGCAAGGGGTTGAGTATTGTTGCTTATGTCCAGCGTATTCTTAGATTTTGTTACAGTTTGTTGTATAAAAGTATGATAGAAACTGGCTGATATTCCGTAGAACAATACTATGGCAACGAAGCATCGTCGACTAATAGTAATTTTTATACGTTGTTCCATCTGCCATTAAGAGAATGGTGGTGTGAAAAACGGAATTAAGTGATATATACAAGGTTAATTGTAGGGTTCATTGTACTGATTACATGAATTGCAAATTATGAAATTTGTATAATAAGTATGTGTTGTTGTGGCGGTTAAAGGGTGTGGCTTTTCTACTACGATTTATTGGCTTTAGGACTAAAAATAATCGAAAAAGATAGACATATAATCAGGATTTTTATCTCACTTTTGAGACTTAATTACGTGTCGTAAATATATGAAGTTATCACGTAGACGAAGAAAGATATGTATGGTTTCTTTTAAAATAAAATACAAAATTGTTTGTTAAACACATGTTAAACACCCATCATCTTGTAATGAAAGTAGTAGAAAGAAAAAAGCTGTTCTCTATGTTTTATATTTTCTCTAATGGTAAATAAAAAAGTGGTAAAGTAATTGAAAAAGTAATAATCCAGCATTTGTACATTAGTATTGTGGTTCTCCCAAGGATGGTTGAGGTAAAATAAACAAACGAAAGCTTAATCCTCTCCTATCACTGCCGCTTTGACAGTTCCCGACTTTGAAGTGATGCATTAATCAAAAGTTATGACAGTTTTACTAACAAGGAAACCTCATCAGCTGTCTGACTTCGTTCTGGCTGATATTTTGCTGATAGTTAGTAGTCATGATTATATAAAAGAGCTAAAGAGGATTTTTTCCTTGAGCAACTGTTAGTTTATTGCAATATTGTATTTAATGGGGTTCTGTGGTGATAACGTATTGCCACTATTCGGTTGTTCGCAGAAACTGACTCCGCTGAGAACCATAAAATAGATGGATAGCTTCTGACTTTGTTGCTGAGAAAACAATTTTTTTGTAATTTTCAAAGCGTATTACAGTAGAGATGTGCACTGGTACCACTTTCGCACCCGTACCCGACCCGATCCAACAACTTTGTACTCGTACCCTTTCTCCTTTTTCTCCTTTTTGTTATCCAGCTAAAAACTTTTGTTTTTTGGCTGAAGATGTCAAATTCCCATTACGTTCTCAACTAATTCTTTTTAAACCTTCATGTATTTTAGCTACACTTCTATAATTTTTCACTAAACTTCAGTGGGTTTCCGCTAGAACTTTCCGGTTTTCGGGTAAATTAAAAGAAATTAGAAATGCGAAAAATGCACGCTATGCGAAAAATCCACACTGTGCCGTACCCGGTAACTTCGTGCCCGTACCCACCCTTCGGATCGGGTTGCACATCTCTATATTACAGTATCGATCGTTTTCTCATAAATGGAGAACAGAAACGGTTTGAGAGGTGAAAACATTTTTTGAGTATAAGCATGATAGGCAAAGAAGCTCTTGTTTTATAACTTTATTGATTCATAGTAGAAAAGGTCAGCGACAAGGTCATTTTAGGCTTAACGTTTAACAATATGTATTGAGATAACAAGGGAAAGTAGATTGAAATCAGAGGGGAAAGAAGGAGATAACAGTAACAATCAAATATAAAAACGAAGAAAAAACGATAAACTATAAACGACAGGTCCGTGAAGCTCTTTCTTCTTTAGTTTCTTTACAAAGATGTGTTTTACTGAACGAAGAAAGGAATTTTCTGGTAATCGCTATATGCGATACATTCTGATTTATCTAAACATTTTTCTTGGTTATTATGTGCACTATAGTGCAAGACACATCAAAGCGACTTCAAAAGAGTCGCTAAAATACGACTAAATGGGATCCGACTTACGTGTCTTCAATGCGACTAGAGCAAAGACGCTATATAGTGACTACTAGATAAAGTCGCATCATGTGTCTTCAAAGAAGACACTACAATTTTTGGGATGCGACTTATGTGTCTTCTTAGAAGTCGCATTTTTTTTTAAGAGTGTAGTATCACATAATCACTGATCACATTAAATCTGTATTATACACTATAAAAAACGTGTCTGCCAACAGGTATCTACCACAAAAAAGCTTAACATTAAACAATGTTAATTGCGTCTTTGTTGCGTCTTCCAAAAAAAGAACCGTCTTATATATATAAATATCTTCATACTATCCACCATTTTTAGATGAAAGACATCTGAAAGACACATAGAAGATGTTTGGACGGACTGTAGACTTAGTAGTCACATTGCACGGATTGTGCTTAAGAGACTATTTCTGTTTTTGTGCTCGAATGATGAAACAACGAGTTACTGTTCTCCCTAGTGAAAAACTTACTCGAATCTTAGTAAGATCTTAGAAAAATCTTGTTAAGATGTTGGTAAGATTTCGCTTACATTTGTCTAAGATGTTAAACAAATCTTACTAAGATCGTGAGACTCGAAAATTCTAAGATTTGATACGATTTTTCAAAGATCTTAGATAAATGTAAACGATCTTACTAACATCTTAATAAGATTATTCTAAGATCTTACTAAGATTATACTGTCTGAGACTTTTTCAAGATTGGATAAGAATGTGTTAGGTAGTAAGAATGATTAATAGTAAGAACGATAACGTTTTTTAAATAATATTCATTTAAGATTCACTGAAAATTTTTCAAGTTTTAATTCGCATCATCCAAAGCAGCAGTTAAACAGTGTTAAAGAATGAAGAGAAATTCTATATTTTCAGGTATCTAACTATAAACCTTGATCTGCATGTAAACTCTCTAAAAAGCTGCTGAACGCTTTTGAGAGAGCAAGTACCAGCAGAGTCTAGAAGCAAAATAACCGTATAATCACTCATATTTTCGGTTACTTATATATACGAATGAGAGCAAAACAAAGGGGTGAATCAAAGTAGAGTCATTAAATCTTATTAAGATCTTAAACGATAAGATCTTAGTACGATAATTTTAAGAAGTGTCTAAGATTTTTACTAGGGGTTCCACCTGATTGGCGGTATTAGCTATCCTAAGCAACGGCGTGTGTTTAAAAAAAAAGGAAAGAAGAACTAAATACTAATTTGATGAGGAAAGGTCCCCAAGTGTTACATCGATTTCTCTTTGAAACAGACTTGACTACGAGTAATTTTTGATGCTGATCACGAATCTGGTCTCCGTTCGTTTCCAAAGCGCCTTTTAGTATCGCCGTTCGAATTAAGAATTCCTAGAAATCAATCATGAACTTTCGTCTGAACAAATTCTGTTAGTGTCACATTGTAGATCATATCAAGTCCCTCATGTGAAAAGGTTTTGAGATCTAACCAACAGATCTTCACCAAGTTATAAAAATTTCAACCATTTATCCAGCTCACATAAGAGTGATTGAGCTATTTTTCCCAATAAAAGTTTATAAATCGGTGAAGATCTGTTGGTTAGATCTCAAAACTTTTTCACATGAGAGACTTGATATGATCTACAATGTGACACTAACAGAATTTGTTCAGACAAAAGTTCATGATTGATTTCTAGGAGTTCTTAATTCGAACGGCGATATCAAAAGGCGCTTTGGAAACGAACGGAGACCAGATTCGTGATCAGCATCAAAAATTACTCGTAGTCAAGTCTGTTTCAAAGAGAAATCGATGTAATACTTGGAGACCTTGACCCATATGCTTTCTTAAGATAAACTTTATAACTTTAAGAAAACAATAAGAAAGAAAGAAAGAAGCCCTGTAAACATGAAGAATTTATAAATATTTCAAAAGCGAGACCCTTCAGGTGTTTACAAAAGAGGATAATAAAAACTTACAGTTTAACAAATTTCAAAAATTGAACTGTTAATCTATTATACAATTGTACTTAATGGGATCCTGTCGTTATAACGTATGGCCACTATTCCATTATTCGCCTAAAATTTAGCGGAAATTGGCTCCGCTTAGAATTACACAGTACATTAATAGCGAAAGTACAAACAGCGAAAATGCTAAAATTATTGCTGAGTATTATCTCTAGTTAAATAGACTTATACAGTACTAGGAAAAACTTTTCTCATAAAAATAAGCAAATTTTAATTTATTTTATTTTCATTCTTTTCTAATTAGTAACGAATAAAAATAGATGATCTTCGATAGAATCCGTAATTCTATCAAACGCATCATTATACAAATCAAAGCCTTGAATGAATTCACTTTTTACGCCACTTCTCGATGTTTCTCTTAAACACTTTCTTGACACTTGAATAGTTTATTATGAGACATGTATCACTAAACAATATAAGTGACGTTGAATTGCTAAATAAACTTATTGTCACTATAACGGCCGAAGAAACAATGACGATAGGGGACTTTTTCTGTCTATTTCTTTTGCTAGGGATGTCTTGACTAGGTATTAGGATGACTCGATGCCTAACAAACAGTCTCGACGAATTTCAATATCTTAAGTGCTTTGTGTCTTTTTGATATATAAGTGATGTCTATCAAATGCACCTCAGCTATTTTTTCCAGAAAAGGGAGCGTCTTAGAGGTGTTTTTTTTTTTTTGAAGACATTAAGGCGAAAAAGATGAGAAAATGCATCTGGTGTACCTTCAAAACGTACTGTGGGTATATTTTGAAGCAAGCCGTTTTACTTATAGAAAACTACCTGCGGATATACGAGTTTGAATTTGGATATGTTTCGTTGGATTGTTTGATGTGGAACGTTTAATATGAATAAATGATCTCGGAAATCTTCGATAGTTTCCAAAAAATTACATAAACTCTTATAAATAATTTTTTAGTGAAGAGCGATACGTTATTATGGTACCGTGTAATATCCACTGTAGGTTACTTATATAAAAATTAAGAAGTATGTCGCCTTTAACAAAAAATAGTCTATATAGAGAAACGTTTACAATCTTACTATTCATTCAAAAAATATTCATATTTTTATACAAAGAAAACGTCCTGAATTATAGATTTATCAAGCACATACTCTAAAAATCAAGTGAGTTCATATTTTATTATTTAGTTGTTATTGGTTTAAGAAACTGTCATTAAGAAACTGTCATTAAGATTTTTTTTTCTTCTACGTCTTTTGTTCGCACAAACGTTTGTTTACACACATAAAAAAGAAAAAACTTCGAGAAGTAATGAATAAATGTACGGACTTTTTCTCAAAAACTATATTGGAAATCAAAACACCGGATCTGTTATGTTGTAGTCTCAAGTATTGGCTACATATTAAGATCACTTATTTATTTTAATTTTTCAACAATTACATTGTGAAAAAAGAGGTACACTTTTTTTAGAAAAAATGCACTTAAGGCGTCTTAAAGATAATCTCATTTTTGATCAATAAGAATGTATTTCCGTGTAAAGGACGCGCCAAGAGGCCTTATGAACGTGTCTGAATTCCAATTTTATGCACCTATAGTGTTTACGTGAGGCCTTGTGGATCGATAGTCAGGGCACATTGAGTGCATTCTCCCATGTAAATTAGGTGCATTTTTGATGCGTAAAGTAGGGCCTCCCGATGTCCTCAAAACATCCAGAATGCATTAAATACATATAAGAGCGGGCTAAGACTAAAAACGTGCAAAAAAGAGATGAGTAAGTGTATTTAGGATGCAGAAATAGGGTAGAAAGAATGCTAGTGCCACTTTTCGGATATAGACGGGCTAGGAAAAAAGAGCTCAATTATTCGTTAGTTATTGGATTTTTAACTTCTAAATATATTTGAGTGCATGTATGGGGACAGCGAATGGCCAACTATTGTTTTTCCTTCGGTTTTCAGTTAAAGAATCTGATCAGAAATCATTGGCTTTCTCTCAATTCAAAAGTATTATAAAATGAAAGTACCTTGTTAGTGAATAAACTATTTTGATGTTGGTATGTTGAGATCTTTTCCCATTTAATAATAAAAAGTATATGAATATTCGATCTTACAGTACTCTCATACAGAAAAGCTCATACTGTTGATCAATACACAGTGTTTAAATCAATATATAATTAAAATAACATTTGGCTGCATTTAGCTAGATTTAGTATTTTCTAATCTCATTTGAACTCAAGTTTTAGTGTTTATATCTTATTAATTTGAAAGAGAGAATTGAGAAAAATCTGATGATTTCTGACCATATTCTTTGATTAATTCATCTATTCGATTTGAACGAATCTAACATAATTATATAAACAAACAACAGATTAGAAATCGTCTGTTCAAGAGTATGATAGTCACCATACGGGACGGTCAGATAACTCTGCTATCAGAGTGAAATTCCGTGACGAAATAAATAGTAAATACTAAATGCTACTTTCGCAAAATGAAGCTTGAGAAGGGCGTTTTGTATTTTTCTTTTATTTTTTAGACAAAGAAACATACAAAGCGTCGAGACGCCTCATTTTACAGAGAAACGTTTGCTTTACAATTCTAGATGTTCCACAACACGGCCGAAACAAATATATACAGCAAAATGTTAATATTTCGCCATGAAATTTCGCTCCGGTGAGAGTTATCTGGCGGTGCCGTATAGTGACCAAAGAAACAATACAGATAGGACATTTTTCTGAAAAAACTTCTCACTCCTTTGTCTTGCTAGAGATGTTTTGCCTAGGGATCATGATAATTCTGTGTCTAACAACAGTCTCGTGGCATTTTCGTTGCATTAAATGAGGCTACATGATTTATCCGTGGCTTATGGATGACTAGGTGTCTTCACTGTAGCTAGTGCCTTGTGCCTTTTGATGTCAATCGAAACCACTTAAGCTACACTCTAAAAAAAAGTTGTTCTTCAGGTTTTCAAAGAACGAAAAAATCAATGGGAATTTTGTTTTTCATTTGTCCCAAATAGGGAACTCAAATTCTGTTCTTCAACTCTCAAGAACTCAAAATTTGTTTTTTGGTTTTTGAAAAATTGATTTTTATTGTTCTTTGGGAAATGAAAAACAAAATTTCCATTGATTTTTCTGTTCTTTGAAAACCTGGAGAACAACTTTTTTTTAGAATGTATTATTAAAAAAGGAACGAGTTAAACGTGTTTTGTTAAGACATCAAGGCGACTAACAGTAAAACAGACGGAAAAATGCATCTAGATTACGCACTGTGAGCGCATTTTGAAACCATCAAGATGGTTTATCAAGACACTTTTTGTGACAGTGTAAGAAACGAATTGTCTTTTTAGAAGATTATCAATGATAATTTACGAAGTCACAGAAGAAATTTCTGGTTATTAAAATTAGAATGTCAGTATATTTTATATTATTATTCAATTAAGACGGTTATTAGTTTTTTCTTGAAAAGTTAAGATTTCCTTTCCAGTAGAATGCATGCCTGAAACTCGTTACTGATCGAATTTGTTTTTCTAGCAGCTCTGTTTTTCGGCTTCGCTAATTTAAATGGTACTCTAATCTACTATTAGTGGGCATCTATGCGACAGTTAAAAACTCTTCGACATGTTCTCATAATATTATCAGCCATATTAAATATTTGTGGAACAATATGGTTATTTGAAAAACTTCATATTTCCAGATTGTTAACTATAGTAGAGAAAGATGCTGCTAGTAAATCTTCCTTCTACAAAAGATTAAATTGTAATTGTACGAGAAAATTAACACAGTCACATTATCGTCAAGATCCAAATAAAACATCATTATGCAATGAATATTCTACGCTACGTGGTCCAAATCAGAAAATTATATCAATTAGTTTATTTGGACCAATAGAAAGTGCAAGATTTGCCCTTGATAAAACAATTAATTTATTGAATGATCTCATATCTGATATGTATACAATTTATCCCGATTGGATATTACGCGTTTATCATGACTCTACAATTGACTCATCAATCGCCTGTTCAACAGAATGTAAACATCATAACGTCGACTTTTGTAATGTTAGTTCACTGTTGAAATATAATGACGTAACTAAAACTATTCCACCAAAAATATGGCGATTTTTACCAGTTGGTGATGTATTTGTGAAAATAATAAATAGTCGAGATTTAGATTCAGCTCTCACATACCGAGAACTCGCCGCTGTTCAACAATGGTTATTGACAAATAAATCATTTCATGCCATGCGCGATCATCCAGAGCATGATGTTCCCATGCTAGCAGGAATGTGGGGATTGCGAACTGATATCAATTCATCATTTAATCAAGAATTTTTAAATAAAATACTTTATGGAAACTTAACTCGTCGTTATAGTGGTCGTTTTGTTGATCAACGATTTTTAATATCAGAGATCTGGCCCAGAATACAAAACGATATTATTGTGCATGATAGTTTTAAATGTCAATTACCATTTGGCAAAAACTCACTACCATTTCCAACTCAACGACCATCATTTAATGAAACAAATTGTTTTGTTGGCTGTTATCGACCATGTTGTGGTAAAGAACGTCCACCGTTTAATGAATGTCCTGCAGCATGTCGACCAAAAGCTCATCCAGAATGGATCGCTTGTTAGAACGTTGTTCTATTGTCGATACACGCTTATATTATCTTTTATTTGTCTCATAATTTTATAATAAAAATATAAAATTATAATTAAGCGATGCTCGACTTTTGTTTTGTGATAAAAAATACATCATAACTGAAAGATCATACATTGATGTTACTAAGGAAGATAGCTCGTCAATGATTAACAGAATTTTAGCTGGTCCTAATGAACGAACTTACATGAGAGGACGAATATCCCCTGCAAGTTTTGTTCAACGTCCCTAGGATTTTTTATAAGTAAACCAAGCACTAAAATTATTTTATCTTGTTGCCAAATATTTGCTCAAGTAAATACTACGCGTATCTGTGAGAGTTGGCAGCCGTTAAAATACACTTTAAAACTATTTCTCTATTCTTCTACGCACTATTATAAACTTAAGCAAAACGCTTCGGAAGGGCATTTGATTCGATATTGAATGATATAAAGACAAGAGAACGAAAGTTTATGAGCGAACAAAAGATCAAAATACTCTTCTATAAATATAAAAGTCAATAATACTCATATCTTACTTTGAAAGATAGTTTAGGTGCTGTTCGGTGTGAGAAATAATATGTTACGTCATTAAAAGCGCATTTCTTTTTTCTACTTTTTGTTGTTATTAATAATGTATTTTTATTAACCTTCTATCCAATTGCGCTAGATATTAGAAGTTACATTTACAATTTGCGTAGACAAAGGTAGAATCGATAAATCTGCAAGAAAGAAACTAATACGTCATTTCTTCCTCATCACAATTTTTCATGAGTGACAAAATGGGGGTGGAATATGGAAAGAAATCGAAAGTGAGAATGTTTTACGCCCATCCAATGATCATGAAAAATTGTGAAGAGGAATAAATCACGTATTAATCTTCTTTACATGTGTCATACTGCCCTCTCACGGTCTTTGATATTCTAAGAGATTCTAAGGAGTTTACATTTTGACTGTAACATCCGTTATCGTTTAAGTATCGACAGAGAAGGCACTCGCCTCCTTATCGCATGATTAATCTCAATTAAAAGAATATACAATACATTACATTAATTTATTTATTTATCGAGAATTGTAATATACAAAAAACTTTTTCTCTCCACATATTAGATGCAAACAACAAATAGAGTAGCGCAAAAAGTAAGAGTTAAGTGAATCTTTTAGTGTTAGCTATGTATTTATGAACAGTATTTACGATAAGGATGTTTTGTTCTGGAATAAGATTAATTGATTCTTTTAGAATGAGCTTAGTAGTTTGTAGTAATGTGGTAATCAATTTTATATTATTCAACAAGATAGATCTTTCATGGACAAAGCGATGGCATTTTAAAAAGTAATGCTCAGCTGTTTCGGGCTATAATTTGGTGTCATAACGAGGTGACGTTTATATGATCTGCTAATAGAAAGCTGACGCCTAGGCGTATGCAGATCAGATGGACAATATTTATCCGACTTCCTATATTGTACCAAACTTGTGGCCGAGGTGGAAAATTTAGAAAACTTTTCAGTTTTATAGAGAAGTTCTCATTGTCTATAATGGATTGCATTTCATAGGGCAGTTTGTTCCAATCATGCATGTATAACGCTCACCAGTACTGACTTATCTACAAAAGAAATGTTGGATATTGAAGGAACTATATCTGTTGGTATATAGTGACTCATCTGTCTGATATTTGTGTCTCTTTTTAACGTAATTAGACTTCTTAGGTAGGAAGGCGACTGATTGTGTACGATTTTATGAATTAAATTAAATTTAAAATATTGAATTATTTGCCTTAGACCTCTCCTCTTTAGGTTAGATCAAAATACTATTTTTGAGAGAGAAAGAATTTTTTTCTCTCTTAATCGTGACAAATACAGATTTTTACCAAATCTTGAGATTATATATAAAAAAACATACATTTTCGAACTTGAAATGTCCATATTCTACTAAGTTTTCATATTTTGATTTAACCATGGTTAAGTCCAAATATGCTATATAATCAAGCATAAAAACTGCAGGTTTTATATTTGATTGAGAATCATTTTATAAGAATTACTTTACTTGAGTAAAACGATGACATACAATCCAAATATAGGAAATATTAAAATGATTTGCTTTGACAGGCATTTTATATTTTAATAATTTTAAATTTTCTAATATGATTATTACATTTCCGTGCCAAATGTATTTATTCGGTAAGAAAAAAGTAAACTGACTTTTTCATATTTTTCTTTAGAAATATATCGAACAAATTTGGATCTGAGTATGAATATTGTTTTTCTGCTCAAACGAACGAGAAACAGAAAAAAGAAAAGCATAACCTTTATGTAATATAATGAAAGAACCATAGTAATATTCTATACATGCCCCTTTATAAATTATAAAACAAAGTCTCGGAAAGTAATAGATTTTTAGGTATTAAGAAAAAAAAACTCTCATTTGGTATTATTGTAGGACGATGTAAGTGATTTTCTTAACCAAGTAGAATTTAGTATAATGAATTTTTTTTTCCAAAGATATTTTAGAATTACGTTGTCGAACTGTTTTAGATGCACTTTCGGAAAAATGTTTACTTTACTATGATTATAAGAATCAACGGCAATATGATTTCTCTTTTTTTTTTTTCTTTTTAATTTACATACTTAATATAAGAAAGTAGGTAACACAGAAACGGTTTTACACAAGAAAATAACAGAAAAATATTGAATAGCTGAGTTTAATTAACTAGCCAAAAGAAATGTAATAAAATAAGTGGCACATGAAACATTGTTAAATAAATGCAATTATTAATATATCATTAGAATTAGTTTTCTTTTGCTTTGGAAAAATGAAAGGTGTATAACAACTATAAGGAAGTACTTACCACCTGTGATCGTAGAAAATCAGTTTTACTCCAACTAAAACATATGTAACAAAAAAAGAGACTAACACTACATGTAACACATGACAATTTAAGAATAACCAAAGCCAAGAATTTTCACTCTTACATAGTGAGGTTCGATTTGCACAGCACACAGTTTAGTGATGGTTGAGATAAGAAGACAAAGTAGCTAATGGTACAATATAGAAGAGCTATCCGGTGCTGTAAAAGTCCTTTCATAACACAGCACCTGTAAACTAAAACTTGTTTATACTGTGCATATCAAATTAAAGTATTTCGGATATTATTCACTTGAAACAGTTATTGAAAGTTTAGGAAGAAGATCAATTCTTCGGGTTGGTATAGGCTACCGTCCAGTGTCGCAAGTATTAAATGAAACACAAGCACAGACATCCTGACTTTTCATTAATATACGAAAATATCTATTTATTAATTTACTTTTAAAATCGGCAAGCTTAATTAAACACAAACACGAGTCATTTCACACAATCAAACCAGATTTGAGCATTACTTTCTAGTTGATCTGTTAAATTCAAAAAACTGGTATCCGGATTCAATTCGAAACTCACTCAACAAAAATCTATCATAACTCTCTCATGTTCTAAACAAGTTTCATACAAAATCAGATCATCAAAACTAATCTGTTGATCACAATACCAGGTCTTTTTATCAAAAAATCTTCTTTTGTGATACATGCTCTCTAAAAAACTGCGAGTTCTGGGTACAGCAGATAGAACTGGTTAAATCAGGCAAAAAGGCTTGAAAAATATGCAATTCGTGGGGGAGCCTCAATGCTTGGTGTATTCTTATAACAAACTAATAATTTGCTATTTAATTGTGTAACTTGATAATGATCATCGAACATCTAACAAATGTTGAGGTCAAAGCTCAGGTCCAACGCTTATTTCTCTGCAGATATGAGCTAAAGTTCTTTCTTAGCAATTCTTAGATTAGAAAAGTTTTTTTAACAAAACTTTTGAAACTCACTGTTTTGATGTCGTTCGATTTCAGATACACCGGTGAAAAGAGCATTGAAAAATTATGACTTAGACAGATTAAACGGAACTTTGTTGCCAACTTGCTGCCATCTATATCCTACTGAAATTCCTATAAAAAAAGATATTTTATGATTTACTATGATTAATTATGATCACACGGTTCATCCGATATCAGTTATAGAAATTTGTGAAACATATCACTTTCTCGATCTTTAAGCTTATACGGTGAGGATTCTTAATTTTGTCTTCATTCTTTTCTAATTAGTAACGAATAAAAATAGATGATCTTCGATAGAATCCGTAATTCTATCAAACGCATCATTATACAAATCAAAGCCTTGAATGAATTCATCTTTTACGCCTCTTCTCGATGTTTCTCTCAAACACTTTCTTGACACTTGAATAGTTTTTATTATGAGACATGTAGTTGTCATCACTAAACAACATAAGTGTCGTCGAATTGTTGAATAAACTTGTTATATGACTTGAAAAGCAAGAATCTGAACCGACAGATCATGATCCGTCGGTACAAATTCTATTGACTCAAAACTGCCATTAGCGTCTGTTCAAGAGTATCATCGTCACTATAATGGCAGAAGAAACAATGACGATAAGGTACTTTTTCTGTCTATTTCTTTTGCTAGAGATGTCTTGACTAGGCACCAGGATGACTTAATATCTAGCAAAGAGTCTCGACGCATTTCGATGCAATATCAATTAAAGCTATTTTAATTAGATAACTCGTGAGAAAATCAGGAAAACTTCTAGTGTATCATTTTGCTTTCGTTGAGAAGAGAAAATCTTCATAAAATTAATTATATGATTTGAAAACGGGTATATAAATACATGGAGTGCCTTGGGGTAATTATGGCCAAGTCCTCGAAATTTCGTCGTATTTCTGCTATAGTTTGCTCGGCTTTATCCTGGAAAAGCGATATTTCACTGGTAAATAGCAGTGACCTGTGACTACCGACTGATGTAAAAATTTTCTTAAAATTCATTAGCATTAATTATTACTAATGAATTTCAGAGAGCACTTTTCGATTGACCATAATTACCCCATTGGGATAATTATAGTCAGTCAACGTGTACCGTTGGGGTAAATATGGTAAATACATTAAAATGGCTGCGATAACTTAAACAACTTAGGTTCAATGTGGCATTTCAAGGAAAATAATTAAAAATGATATCATCTTGCAGAGAATTTCAAGCTTTATCACCTGTATAAATTACATGTTACTTGGACTTATCGTTAATCAATTAATTAGAAACTACGAATGCGTAAGTTTCGGAAAAAAATCATCTGAGGTAATTATGGACACTCAGCTATTTTTCATGAAGTAATTATGGTCAGTCCGCGTAATTTGCATGGAAAAGTCAGAGTTTGAATGCCACCGGCTTACAGAGGCAGATTTTACACCAACGACAAATAGAGGAGTTGTAAACGAGATTTTTCTTTATTACATGGAGTGAAAACTGGAATAGATCGCATGATTCTAACGATTTGTAGTTGTCTGATGAGTTTAGCCAAATTTTAGCACACTTTTGTACCTGATTTTTGACAGTCCAATTAAGGTGGTACCTGTAATAATTGTGTAATTAAAAATGTGTTCAATTTTTCATATTCTCCAGATGCTCCTCTATCTCTTGGGTAAAAGAAGACTTTTAAGACATAAATTTTTACATGAATTATGTAGTATTTAATTTAATGATCTCAAGCTACCGTCATGAAATTGAGATCGCTTTTAGGAAAGAATGAAGCGAATTAAACAAACTTTATGTGAAAATCATTGAGGATATTACAATACAGAATATACATATGTATGACAAATATTTAATTCTGCTTCAACTGTTTTGAATGCAATTAACGAATTAATTGGCGATCATCGGAATCTACAATTGAAGTGGTTACAAAATCAGAATCTCCACTGAGTTTTCGAGCAGCAATCCGTAATACCCTTCGATCCATGGGTTCATCCGTCATTTAACAGCCACCAATTAAGAACATAATTCTTGATCGTCAATCAGCACAATTTTTAACAAACGAAGAACTATTACGTGTGATGAAGCAGAAAGATGAGCGATCAGTCAGTAAGGTGCAGGCAGTTCAGAGAAGGACTTTAGTGAAAGAAAAACAGAACTCTAACCAAGTATTCGTAAATGGAATACTGTTTTATGAGAAAAGCTCGTAAAGAGCTCGGAGGCGTCTCATTTTATTCAGAAATGTTTGTTCTATACGATGGAATTATTAAAAGAATTTTCCGATCCTACTGTGCCATTAATATGTTGTTCTCTGATATGGCGATCAAAACTCAGTACATACCCTTTATGTATGTTATAACTGATATTTAAAAGAATACAGTTCAGCCTTAAATTGTATTAGATTGTGTAACTGGTAATAAAAATGAAAATTTGTTCTATTCTGTACAAAGATCTATATCACATTTCTTTTATTCAACAAAAACAGCACAAGAAGATTTATAACCTTTTGATGCAGTCTTTGAATACACCATGGGCTGTTCAGTGATGCTGTTTTAGCTCAATATCGACTTTTAATAAGAATTTTATATTTCTGATAGGAGTGAGCGGTTGTGATAATTAGAATAGTTTCGAACTTGACAAGCTATCACATCTTGTAGAGCAAACAGTTTTCTACAAACTCGTACACTTGTTGAATTTTCGCCTGCTCGTCTTCAGTCTTTTAGACACGTTTTTCAGATAGCTCCAAAATCGATTTTTGGGGCTGTTTGTACGACAGCTGTATTTTCATAACTAATCAATATTTAGAGTCAAGACACTTTTCATTTTGTAGAGAAATGTTTAATGTACTTAATTATGTAGTCGCAATTTTAGATTAGTTTGTGGCTTTACTGCGATAATCTTTTGAAAAAGAGCAAAAAAAGGATACCGTTAGCTGGACAAGCCGTGAGGATCCTTAATAAAAAAAAGTCAATTATTTTCGTGTTTCATTAGATCGCTTTTTATTTATGTATTTTTTATATCTTTTTTGATACAAAAAAGACCTCATATTTCAATGACTAATGAGATTTTAGGAAAATATTTGACATGAGTTATTAGATAATACTTATGCATAATTTTAAAAAACCAACAACTTTGTTTCAGAATCGTCTGGAAAATAAGTAAAGCCAAATCTGTTTTGTCTCTCTATGTAATCCTTCACGTCTTTGTCTATAAACAAAATTGTTTGGAATTTGATCATTATATATTAATCCATGTCTTTCAAAATAAACGATATTTTTTCTTCAATATGAATTTTTATTTCAGATTAGTTGGTAATTGTGTTATCAATTGTTATCTTACTTAATTATTTTAAATGTATTTGATTGAGGATAAAAATGATATATTATTTCTCTTCGTGGTTTCTGTCATGTAAATTTCAGATCATACTACTTTATACACGTGTATATAATCTCATTCACCCAAACACACATATCACAGTACGTAATGATAAGGATATTGAGCAAAAGTCAAAATTGATATTTTTTTTCATATTTAACTCGACCGTAGGATACTGCACTAGGAAGACTATTGATCGTGATGAAATATTTAGATTCACTGGAACATCTATATTAGAAATACAGCCAGAGTAAAAAACTATGAATAATGTGAGTATTTGAAAATAGAAAATTATTTTTTTCCAAATCAAAATACTATAAAAAAAATACTAATGGAAAATTTATCTAGATTTATTGTAGATAGTTCTAAAAAAATTTTTGTTTTTCTTTGAGATATATGACTTAGAACGGACGTATCTCATCATAATGAATTTTTACTTTTTTTTTCAGCATTCAAACTTCCTCAATTTTTCTCAAATTTTGTAGAAATATCCTTGACAGTCCAGCACATTTGCGATCCATGCACCACTTTCTTTAGATGAAAACTCAGATTTTTAAACATTCTATTGACTTTCCCGATATTTAATCTTTTTCAGTTGTCAAACAGTTTCTTCATGAAAAAATGCCTCGGTGAGACAAAGTCACTTCAGAGGTGCAACCGGTATCGGTATACCGGTACCGGTGCCGGTCCGGTATCCGTACGAATTATAACGCCGACCGGTATACCAGCGTTAGCATAAAGTATAATCGGTCGGCCCTTACTGCTGGTATTTTGCGGTATGATACGATTTTTTTCAAAAAACATCGTGTAAATTCAGTTCATCTGTGACATATTTCTTCCACTAATCTTCTTCTAATTACTAAAGCTTTCTCGGCTTATATAAACTTCTTAATTTGAAAGATTGAATTGGATTGCTGTTTTCGTTAAAAAAAAGCGTGTGAAAAATTAGTTATACGAAAAAATTAATCTATCACCTTGATAACATAAAATAAACTTCACAGTGAAGAAAAACAAGAAAAAAGTATTTTTATTTAGGCAAATACTATCGGGACAAACCGGTACCGACCGGTAAACCAGTCACCGGTATACCGGCCGGTACCGGTACAAAGTTTGTATACCGGTGACCGATACCGGCATCGCATTTTTGATACCAGTTACACCCCTGAGTCACTTAATAACCTTGGACACATAATTCATGTCTTAATGCGTTGGATCAGCCGGCCTATAGTATACTTACTCAGTTGTTCCGTACAATTCGCTTACAATTTTTCACAACATTAACATTTGGTACATTTGCTTTTAATTTTTGTAAAAGATATGCAAATGTTGTTACTTTCCATTTTTACCGACTAGTGCAGGATTAATTGTAATTCCATCAAGACTGCATGCACACATATGCTGAGGTATGCCTTCAGTAACACAATCACGTTCCGTTGACAATGGATCAAATAAACTTTGTCGTCTTAAATCATTTATTGTTGATGTAATGGGTTCTGATACTAAGTTTGTTGCTATATTATACAATGTCCAATATATATCTCTTGGTGTTACTAAAAAATTTCGATTTTGAATCAAAATTTGTTTTGATGATTCTGTCAAATATTGATTAGGAATAATTGTTATTAAAACGGGTAATCTTGCTTCCATTTTACCGGCAGTAGTGTCTGACCACATTGGACCATAGTGCAATCCATGATCGGCAACAATTAAAATAATAGGTGGTTGATTTAAATTTGATGATGTTAAATATTGAATTAATAGATTTAGTTCATTATCAACCATTCCAAGAATTTGCATACTTAATTCATGACCTTCTATAAATGATATAAATGAAAAATAGGGTAAATAATTTGAATCATGTTTTTGTACAAAATCTTTGACATAGTCTATTTGATATGTATGAACATATTTTCCATCAATACATCTACGTTTAACACCATATGGACCAACAACATCAGACCATTGTCCATTAAGATCATATTCAGGGTGACAAGACCATATTATTGATTCATGATCAACATGATATTCGCTCGTTCTACCCCAATAATCACCAATATAATCTACACACATATTTGTGATCAGAGATGTAGAATAACCATTGGATTTAAATACATTAAAAATAAAATCATCTACACCACATGGTAAATTAGCTTTTTTGTCTTTATTATTTGATTTTCCCCAACCGTATTTGCCACTTGCACAAAACATTGAC